CTTTAAAATATTGATTTCTTAATTTTGGGTTGGAAAAGTGGGGGTCTTGTACATGGGGGTGTCTTATTGACGGAAAAATACGGTATATATTTTCTCTTTTTATTAATAACTCGATGCTCTAATTAGAAGTAATGGACAAGTTGGTTTCAGCTATTACCTTAATTTCCACAAAATGGGTATTTCACAAAGGGCTAGCATCCATCTTAAGAGACTTTCTGGAGAAATTAAGATGATGGTGACATCTGTCATTTAACCCAGCATCTGTTTCAGCTATCCACCCCAGCTGTAGTCTACCATGTTACTGCTGCCAATAACATGAAAGTTATCACTGCTACTCATCTTCAGACCTCCACATCAGTGGGAAAATTGGACAATCTTTTAAAAAAATCTTTATTCTGTGTCAGTATGCTTGCATATAATAGTCATTAGTGGCCACAAACATTTTGTGTTCCTATTTGGTAGTATCCTCTGCATTTTAGCACAATCAAATGTTGCCATCCAGATAGGAAGAATCTGGAAGTCTGTGTATATTTTAGGGGTGTGCAGCACTTCAGGTTCTATCAGAGCCTGCCCACAGGAGCTGGGTGCAATTGCGTCTATTCCTTAGCACCTGCCATGTGACCCAGGGAAAAGATACTGCTGCTGTAAAGAATGCAGACAGGTCCTGCACTCACCTATTCCAAAGCACAATTTGGGAATTGAATTTGAAGCATTATATAGCCATAATTGATGTTAGCACTTGTGATAATACCCTGAGCAGAAGCCCAAAGGAATAATCACATTATGAAGATGAGGATGACTGGGCTGTTTTGTTTTCCTTCTTCCCCAAATTCTCTTGGTACATTTTGACTACATAATTGATGGCACTTAGAAAATTGTATGAGAAACAGAATATGCTATTAAATAGGCATACATGGTTTTTTTTTAAAGTTCTGAACAGTACGATTTATTCACAAGCTTGTTTTGTCAATACTATTCCTTCATCTCTGAGCCATTCATTATTATTCATAGATATTTTTCAGTCAGAGGTCCCTTAGCACTGATTGCTATCACTGACACAGCATCTGCTGGAATAAACAGGAATGTTGAGAGTATAACTCCTGTAGAATCTCTTTCCTACCCTCCCACGCATCACTGTCATTTTGTTAAGAGCAAATAAATAATATTGAACAAAAATGTTTTATGAGATAGCATACTCTACAACGAAGCTTGATACTCAGTACTCAAGTATATTCCTGGCATCGTGAATTGCAGCTCCTTTCTAAAGACATCTGGGAAGACACCGTTCTGTCCATTTTCACAAGTATTTGTACTGTCCATGTACTTGGGAGAGGATCTGATTTTGCTTAGCCCCAGAATTCAAAGCAAGGCAATTCATTTCATTTTTCCACACTCTATAGATGGCACAGCAAAGGATTAGTCGTAGTGAAAACTCTTTACAAAGCCACTTCCCATTCTCTTTTTTTCTGAGAAGCTAGGAATCTGTTGATAGATAAAAATGTTTATATTAGAATTCACAATAATTGTTATCAAAATGTTGTGTAACTTACAAAAATTAGGCCTTTCCAAATTGAACAGAGCAATAATCTACTCTTTAAAGCTATAAAGTATCTGCTGCTTCAAGATCCTCCTGCAGTACTTCCGGACATATATTTGCATAGAACAATATTACAAAATGAAAGAAAACCAGTCAAAAAGCAGATATTAGGAGAGTTAGTTGTTGGGAAAAGAAGTATATAAAATATACTTACAACCTATGACTGCTGGAGCACATAGGAGCCAACATAGAGAAGGCCCTTCTCTATGTGGCCACCAAGTGGCAATCCATCAATTGCAGCATGGAGAATGTTACCTCCACCCAAGATCACAGATGCTTGAAATCTGAAGATTTTCTTTCAGGGTGATCTAGTCCTAGGTTTTTCAAGGCTGCCTCGGCAGCACCCTGGCAACCAGCCAGTGCAAATCTTTTAGCACAGGTCTGATCTGTGAGAACCTTCTAGATCACTACCAAATACACAGTTTGCATCAAAGTAATCTAACTTGAAGTTACCAAAGCAGCTTTTACTGAGATAAAACATTCCATGTTCAGAAATAGGCATATGCTACGGCTACCTTAGATAGAAATACCTTGTCCTAGTCAGAAGCTCAAAGCAACCACCATGAAACCTACTTTGAGGAACCCAAGAACAAGATTTGGTGTCTTCAAATATCTACAGCTGGATCATGACATTGTCTAAATTGCCTTGTCCCAAAAGATACTTGGGCAGGCACATATTTAGTCCTAGATTGCCAGCACTCAAGCCATTTTCCAATCTATTTACCTGCTTCTAGAAAACCATGATGCTTATGCCTCACTGCATTGCAGAGACCATTCAGAAGCAATCAGTGGTCCATTGTATCTCATCATTCTACAGTGAGACTATGTACTTGACAAGAACGCCAGCTCCAGCTACTGAAATATCAATCACCTTATTCAGAAAACTATTCAGTTGGTACTGGTAATCTGTTTCAAACATAACCTGTGTCTGCACAGCCAATCTGTCTGTCTCTCCCTTCCCTCTCCCACCTCACAGTAATTTAAATCCTCCATCACTCTAGCCACTCTATGCATCTGATGAAGTGAGCTGCAGCTCACTAAAATGTGAGCCTTTTAATAAAATGTTGGAAAAGGTGCCACCAGGCTCCTCCTGATTTTGGATTTTACCCAGAAATGGTCTGGCCGTGACAATGCAATTACTATAACATTACAAGTATCCAGACTAATCCCATCGCTTGGGGCAAAGACCCAATCTATGCTATGCCTTGTTCTACGGATGGGCATATGAGACAATCCCATGGCTGCTATGAAGACCTAAACTAATCCATTCATCTTGGTCTTGGTATGAATGATGAAGCAATCCACAACAACTACCCTGGGATTTTTCAGCATCTTTCTCTGCCTGTTGGATCAGGGATTCTGTTGTGTGAGCAACAGACCTGGAGTAGCCCTAATGTACCTGCTATGTTTGTTCTGTGTTGTGATTTTCTACTAGGTCCTTATATCCAGCCATTTATTGATCACCTTTCCTATTCTCAATTAATTGCAAGTAGCCTAGAATTTTGCACTAACTGCAGTTTCTTAATCATCTTTAACGGTAGAGCCACATACAGTGAATTGCAATAATTGAATTTTGAAGTTACAAATGCAAGGATTACCGTATTTTTCCGACTATAAGACAATACTTTTTTCTAAAATCCTTACGCTAAAAA